ATGCACTGGCCGGTGCAGAAAAGTCAAACAACCCCCACGGCCGACTGGGCGTGGGGAGGCCTTCATCCAGTTATGGATGGGTAAGAAGGCCGTGCATTCATTATGCTCTGTGCTGTGTACCTCTCAGCCGTGTTCTCGCGATGTACCGCATGTTGTTCGGCGTCTTGTCCGACGTTTCGCTCCACGCGCTTGGGAGCTTCCACACATAAGCTCACGACAGCGGTGCTCGCGGGCTGCACTGGTCCGCGTCTGGCTCCATTATCCACCCCGTCTCGATGGCTGGCCATGGCCTGAAGGACTTTCCTCTCTATCTCTCGTCCCCATTCATCGTCTCGTGTGAAAGGAGACGAGAGCCTCTTGATGTCGTGCTGTTCTCCTCGCTACCCCCCCCCCCCCCCCGCGATATGGAATGCCCGCGGGATGTGATGGAGCCTTCTTACAATGCCTTACCCCGTGTGGCTAAGGGATTGGCAGCGGCGCATACGAACAAAACCTCAACACATTCACCATTGACGCTGCCTCTAAAAGGATGTAAGGTGACATTTCTGGCAATGGCCCTCAATCATAGCAGAGATGTATCTGAGTATAATAGAGACGCTACGAGCGTGGCATCCTGATTTCAGTTTCACACGTAGGCTTTCGTTCAGTTCAGTTCATGTATTAGGTAAAGCTCTGTGAGCCATGCGGCTCGTGACTTGGGTGCAACCGCAACAAACAAAAACATGGACAAGAAACATATTAAAGTGACTACACGCGCAACAGAAAAATCCAGGAAAAATCAGCAAAGTCTTCCAGAAAAAGCACCGGACATCAACGCTGTGTGCAAAACTCCCAGTGGGATGCAAGTCAAACAATAACAACCATAAGACAATTTAAAGTTATCAGGCTAACTCTGTACTTCAACAAACAAACATGGCTAAACCAAAAGTTTTGGAAATCACCAAAATAAAGCTATAAAAACAATGTAACAGTGATCATAGGAACTGTGATTCAAATGTAACAATAAACGATATACATAACATGACTTTGCAGCCATAGCTGGCAGCATGAGTCACTCCCTAACAACAGGAGTATCAGTTGGAGTATCGTGACCAATATCATCCATCTAACCCAAGAAACACCTCATGTCCTGATTTCAATTCCCGGCCACGGCTGCCATCAGCATCGAGTGATGTATCAACCGATCCTGAGCCCCTTTGGGATTCATTCAACCTTAAATAGGTACCTGGCGCACCGTGTATACATACATCATCAGCACTGGGGAGGCAAAGGTGGCCGGGCGTGGTCCTGGTCACACCTCACCTTGAGGTGCCACGCCGTTGTGAACGCGTGCTCTCCAGCCTGCATTGCCCGGCATGTTGAAGCGTGCAACCTTCCCACTTGTGAGCCGCTGGCCACCACCGCTGAGCCAGACGAACACAGATTGACGCTTCGTGTAAATAGTTAGGCTTCTGATGTAAGTCAATAATCCCGCGTGGCCTCTCTCTACTGTCAGAGAGCCGATCATTGCCGTCAGCGCACGACGATTGTATCCGCTGCGAGGCAGCGATAGCGACGCAGGTGGGGCGTTTTTGGGGGCCCCGTGTAACAAATAAAATCCATAAAACTATTGTCGCAGGCGGGAAGAGGAGGAGGGCATTTACACGACGCAATGTGGATTCCCATCGCCTTTCAATGCAACCGCAGCGGAGAGGCTGGCATCTCCGGGACAAGAGGGACGTGCGCGTGTGTGTGGTGGTAACTATTTAGTTCCCACGGTAGAGCAGGAGAGAGGAAGACCTGGAGGCTGGACTTGAACAGAGACACTACGACTCGTATGAACGAGTCCACATCCGTGCAGAGACACACGACGTGAAAGACAAATACATCCCACGTGGTCAGCTGACGAGTGACGCAACAGTCAGACATCGACATTAGCCCCCGTGTCAGAAGATATCCTCCACTTGGATACACTAATTTGAGCCTGTGGTGACGTCACCGCGCACACCTGCGTGATGACGTCACCGGCATCCCGCGGCGTCGAGCCCGTTTCGTGCGTTATGACGTCATCACGCCTCACCCTGCACAAATGCGTGAGCCGTGCAGGCTTCACGACACGCGGGACTGACACTCATTAAATGTCGATGTGAACGACGAGCGATCATGCTGCCTCCGTTGATTTCCGATCTATTAGGTTGTTTAATTTTCATCCTCCGACTCTCCACACCCAACGTAGATTCACCGTCTGGGAAGTGACCCACCCCCTCTCTCCCGCGACTCAGCAGCATTGAGGGGCGGGAGGGGGGTCCAAGGATACCCAAATCCCCTCTTCGTTGCCCTAAACGTTGCAAATCGGCGCGTCTTCAATAATCCCCCACGCACCTCTGGATCTGCTCGCTGCCAGGATCATCTTTGCCGCGCAAACCCCTCGCTCGACGTCCTCTTCCGTTCCTCTTCCGTTCCGAGCTGCCCTTAAAAGATAAACTCTGCTTAATAACGAGCGGCTCCCTCCCAATCTCCCTCTCAACCCCACCCCCTCACCCCCCCCCTCTCAACCCCTCGCTCAACCCCCCCTCTCAAACCCCCTCTCACCCCCCGTCTCAACCCCCCCCTCTCAACCCCCCCCTCTCACTCCCCCTCTCAACCCCCCCCTCTCAACCCCCCCCTCTCAACCCCCCTCCCTCTCACTCCCCCTCTCAACCCCCTCCTCTCATCCCCCCCTCTCAACCCCCCTCCCTCGAGGTCGCCCGTTCCACAAGTCCAGTGGGAGGGGTGATGGTGGTTGTGATGGTGGTGATGGTGGTGGTTGTGATGGCGGTGATGGAGGTGATGGTGGTGATGGTGGTTGTGATGGTGGAGGTGGTGGTGATGGTGATGATGGTGGTGGTGATGATGGTGGTTGTGATGGTGATGGAGATGATGGTGGTGGTGGTGATGATGGTGGTTGTGATGGTGGAGGTGATGGTGGTGGTGATGATGGTGGTTGTGATGGTGGTGGTAATAGTGGTGGTGAAGTGGTTGTGATGGTGTAAGTGATGGTGGTGATGGTGGTTGTGATGGTGGTGATGATGGTGGTTGTGATGGCGGTGATGGTGGTGATGATGGTGGTTGTGATGGTGGAGGTGATGGTGGTGATGGTGGTTGTGATGGTGGAGGTGGTGGTGGTGGTGATGATGGTGGTTGTGATGGTGGAGGTGATGGTGGTGGTGATGATGGTGGTTGTGATGGTGGTGGTAATAGTGGTGGTGAAGTGGTTGTGATGGTGTAAGTGATGGTGGTGATGGTGGTTGTGATGGTGGTGATGGTGGTGGTGGTGATGATGGTGGTTGTGATGGTGGAGGTGATGGTGATGGTGGTGATGGTGGTTGTGATGGTGGAGGTGGTGGTGATGGTGATGATGGTGGTGGTGATGATGGTGGTTGTGATGGTGATGGAGGTGATGGTGGTGGTGGTGATGATGGTGGTTGTGATGGCGGTGGTGATGGGGGTCGTGATGGTGATGATGGAGATTGTGATGGTGGTGATGGTGGTGGTGATGATGGTGGTTGTGATGGTGGAGGTGATGGTGGTGATGGTGGTTGTGATGGTGGAGGTGGTGGTGATGGTGATGATGGTGGTGGTGATGATGGTGGTTGTGATGGTGATGGAGGTGATGGTGGTGGTGGTGATGATGGTGGTTGTGATGGTGGAGGTGATGGTGGTGGTGATGATGGTGGTTGTGATGGTGGTGGTGGTGATGGTGGTGGTGATGATGGTGGTTATGATGGTGGTGATGGTGATGATTGTGGTGGTGGTGATGATGGTGGTGGTTGTGATGGTGGTTGTGATGGTGGTGATGGTGGTGGTTGTGATGCTGGTGATGGTGGTGGTGGTGATGGTGGTGATGGTGGTGGTGGTGATGGTGGTGGTGATGATGGTGGTTGTGATGGTGGAGGTGATGGTGGTGATGGTGGTTGTGATGGTGGAGGTGGTGGTGATGGTGATGATGGTGGTGGTGATGATGGTGGTTGTGATGGTGATGGAGGTGATGGTGGTGGTGGTGATGATGGTGGTTGTGATGGTGGAGGTGGTGGTGATGATGGTGGTTGTGATGGTGGTGATGGTGGTGGTGATGATGGTGGTTGTGATGGTGGAGGTGATGGTGGTGATGGTGGTTGTGATGGTGGAGGTGATGGTGGTGGTGATGATGGTGGTTGTGATGGTGGTGGTGGTGATGGTGGTGGTGGTGGTTGTGATGGTGGAGGTGATGGTGGTGATGGTGGTTGTGATGGTGGAGGTGATGGTGATGATGGTGGTTGTGATGGTGATGGAGGTGATGGTGGTGGTGGTGATGATGGTGGTTGTGATGGTGGAGGTGATGGTGGTGGTGATGATGGTGGTTGTGATGGTGGTGGTGGTGATGGTGGTGGTGATGATGGTGGTTATGATGGTGGTGATGGTGATGATTGTGGTGGTGGTGATGATGGTGGTGGTGGTGGTTGTGATGTTGGTTGTGATGGTGGTGATGGTGGTGGTTGTGATGCTGGTGATGGTGGTGGTGGTGATGGTGGTGGTTGTGATGGTGGTGATGATGGTGGTTGTGATGGTGGTGGTGGTGATGATGGTGGTTGTGATGGTGGTAGTGATGGTGATGGTGGTGGTGATGGTTGTGATGGTGGTGGTGGTGGAGATGGTGGTGGTTGTGATGGTGGTGGTGGTTGTAATGGTGGTGGTGGTGGTGATGGTGGTGGTAGTGATGGTGGTGATGGTGGTGGTGATGGTGATGGTTGTGATGGTGGTGATGGTGGTGGTGATGGTGATGGTTGTGATGGTGGTGGTGGTGGTGGTGGAGATGGTGGTGGTTGTGATGGTGGTGGTGGTTGTAATGGTGGTGGTAATGGTGGTGGTGATGGTGGTGGTGGTGGTGATGGTGGTGGTAGTGATGGTGGTGATGGTGGTGGTGATGGTGGTGGTTGTGATGGTGGTGGAGTCGATGACGACTCCCCTGTGTCCCCCTCCCGCTGTGCGCGTGTCTCTTGCAGAGCGTGGCAAGTGCTGTCCGCGCTGATGTTCACCTCGCTGGGCCTCGTGGTGAGTGCCGTTTGTGTGTGTGTGTTTGTGTGTATGGGTGCTTGTGTGTATGGGTGTTTGTGTGTATGTGTGTATGTGTGTGTATGGGTGTTTGTGTGTATGTGTGTATGTGTGTGTATGGGTGTTTGTGTGTATGGGTTTTTGTGTATGTGTGTGTATGGGTGTTTGTGTGTATGTGTGTATGGATGTTTGTGTGTGTGTGGGTGTTTGTGTGTTTGTGTGTGTGGGTGTTTGTGTGTTTGTGTGTGTGGGTGTTTGTGTGTTTGTGTGTGTGGGTGTTTGTGTGTATGGGTGTTTGTGTGTATGGGTGTTTGTGTGTATGTGTGTATGGGTGTTTGTGTGTATGGGTGTTTGTGTGTATGTGTGTATGGGTGTTTGTGTGTATGTGTGTGTGGGTGTTTGTGTGTGTGGGTGTTTGTGTGTGTGTGGGTGTATGGGTGTTTGTGTGTGTGGGTGTTTGTGTGTATGTGTGTATGGGTGTTTGTGTGTATGTGTGTGTGGGTGTTTGTGTGTGTGGGTGTGTGGGTGTTTGTGTGTGTGGGTGTTTGTGTGTGTGGGTGTTTGTGTGTATGTGTGTATGGGTGTTTGTGTGTATGGGTGTGTGGGTGTTTGTGGGTGTGTGGGTGTGTGGGTGTTTGTGTGTGTGGGTGTTTGTGTGTGTGTGTATGGGTGTTTGTGTGTGTGGGTGTTTGTGTGTGTGGGTGTTTGTGTGTGTGGGTGTTTGTGTGTGTGTGTGTGTGGGTGTTTGTGTGTGTGGGTGTTTGTGTGTGTGGGTGTTTGTGTGTATGGGTGTTTGTGTGTTTGTGTGTGTGGGTGTTTGTGTGTGTGGTTGTTTGTGTGTGTGGGTGTTTGTGTGTATGTGTGTATGGGTGTTTGTGTGTATGTGTGTATGGGTGTTTGTGTGTGTGTGTGGGTGTTTGTGTGTGTGGGTGTTTGTGTGTATGGGTGTGTGTGTGGGTGTTTGTGTGTTTGAAAGTTGGCAGTGGGGAGTACAGCTGGCGCGTCTGCCAGTCATCTCAGTCACTCAACCCATGGCACCTGGGTCTGTTTCATGACATCCTGCCCGCGGGCCTTCGAAACTTCACGTGGCACATGCGCCGTAGTGATGTCACCACCACTTAGTGGTGAACGGCGGCGGCTGTTGTGTGTGTGTACACGCGTGCCAACACGTGCAGTGTAGTGGTGAACACACTATGCTACGAAGCCGGCGACCCATTTGCAGCTCACGGCCAACACCGGTGACGAATATATAAATATATATGGTCCCGGAGCTATCTCCCCTAGATCGGCTCAGCCTCAAATGAGAACCTGGTGCGATGTGTAAACACAACTAACCCGAGCCCTCCTCCCCCCGTGCCCCCCCCCCGTGCCCCCCCCTGTCCCATGCGTCCCCAGTCCCTGGCGGCGCCCGAGGCGGCGTCCCAGGCGCTGTCGGGAGAGGAAGACGACGACGCGGGGGGCGGCAGCCGCATGGCCACGAGGCTCTACGGGGGCGCCCTGCTCAGTGGGTCACGCGCACTCCGCCCGGTTCAACGTGGACACACAGCGACGTGTACACAACAACATGTACACAACAACATGTACACACCAACACAACAACAACAACGTGTACACACAGCACACAAGCTGTACACACAACAACGTGTACACACAACAACGTGTACACACAGCGACGTGTACACACAACACAACAACAACGTGTACACACAGCGACGTGTACACACAACACAACAACAACGTGCACACACGGTGACGTGTACCCTCCACTGTGCACACGCGCACTGGTGTCCCACCTGCACCGTGCACATTGTCCCCGTGCGCACGACGTGCAAAGCCGCCCGCTTTCCTTCAAGATGCAGCGATGCACTTTTACGCTACTGGATTGAGAACTCATCCCTTTCGAACTGCTTCCTTGTGGTTCAGTTTGCTTTTCTTCCCACGCACTTCCGAATAGCATGATTGACTACGTACGGTGCGAAAGAAGTTCTACATACATACACGACGGCCCGAATTTAATGATGGATTTTCTTTTTTTCGTGCAATCGTTGATGAGCGCGCTGGCACCGTGAACTCGCCACACTGGAGCACCCCGGCAATCCGCGGGCGGCTAAACCCACGCGCATTCAAAGCCACGATCGCAGCGGTGCCGGCTTAGCAACTCTGACCTCTGCGCGACTCGGCCGCCTCATTATTGAGTGTGTTTTAATCCATCCCCATTGCTATTCAAGTCTTGGCTCGAGACTTCCCCTCCGCCGATAGCAAATGCCGCCGCCCCCGAGAGCAAGAGCTACCGTGTCGGCCACGACGCCGCGTTATTCTTACTCACCTGCTCATCCTTTCACCTTCATCAATACCTTGTGCCCCCCCCCCCATTAGCCCCCCACCTCCCTCCCCTCCTGTACAGCATCCTTGACATGCGTTTATACTGGTAGGAACCACCTGGTTCCACCAGCCCACACGGGATTATTGTGTCCGTCCGTCCGTCGTGCATCCAAACATGGGAGGGGTGGGGCTGGGTGGAGAGGTGAGGGTGGGGAGGGGCTGGGTGGGGAGGGTGGGGCTGGGTGGGGGGTGGTAGGGGTGGGGCTGGGTGGGGAGGGGCTGGTCACCCCGTGGTGCCCTTATAAAACTCAACGTTTAACCTACTCACGCCGGCTTGTGCCCGCCCTCACAGTCGGCCATATTTGCGGAATACAGCACGCCGCCTTTGACCCTGGCCATTGACCGAGCAACCCAACGTTCCTACCAGCTCCCTCCACAGGAATGTGTTAGCCGTACGTTTGACTGCATTCTATACATCGATCATACAACAAAGATCCCCGTATAGCCTTCTAGGCGTTATGGGCAAGTGCTGTGAGGCAGCGCTAATTAAGGCCGACATGGCACACCAAGGGGTTGTGTGGTCAGCGCCACGGCCGACCGTCTTTGTCTCCCTAGGGCTGATTTTTTACACACCACGCTGGGTGCACGTTTAAGGCTGAGTTGACCTTGAGGAAGTACACAAGCTGTCCTGAAATCACTCGCCATGGATGGTAGCCATGGTCCCCGCGTGAATAAGGCCCGTTCCCATTGACTGCTAATGCTCCATTAGTCTCGACCACCGACAAAGAGAGGCAGAGGAATTTGTGTTCAAAGCGATTCAGTTGAACCCAGGGCTCGATTCCTCTCTGCGTATTCCCGGGTCTCTGGTCGATTAGAGTAGGAGGTGACACGTGACTATAACAGTCGAGATATACTGTGTCGGATGGATGATTATTCTCCTACATTTTTAGGAGAATAATCATCTAGATTTGAAACTCATTTTTTAGAGAAGTGCTGTTTGTGCTTAGTTGTCCTTCCCCCACGCCACCTATGATCACGGTTGGCTTCATACGGTGGGGAAGAAGTTCAACATGCGGACATGATTTACCCCCCCCCCCCTCCGTCGCTGTCTCCGCCTGCAGGCCTCTCTCTGACGTTCTGGAACTCCCTGTACACGTCAGACAAGGCCGTGATCCGCTGGAGCCTGCTCACCGAAGTCTGCTTCTACGCCATCCAGCTCGTGGGTACGTGGACCCCCCCCACGCCGCAGAACGCCCCAGGCCCAGTCGGCTCCTCGCCCGAGACGAGTCCGGGGAACGCCGCTCCTCGGCTGGCTAGGAGTAGGGGCTCGCCGCCCAAGGCACTGCCACTAGAGCAGCAGGTACGCCTGCCCGTCATCATCCGATACGATTGTGCCCTGTACGTCCATAATCCTATTGTACGGCAAAATCACGAGGGCAATACGAGGGGAGATGAATATGGTTGCGTGCGGAAATTATTCTGGGAAGGAGCGTTTTGTGTTAAATTAAACAACCAGGCCTCGCAAAGACAAAGATCCCCCGTGTAGCCTTAACAGACTGTTAGGGCAAGTGCTGTTAGCGAGCACTTATGAAGGCCGGCACGGCACACGTGGAGGCGGGTGGTCAACACCACGGCCGACCATCTTTGTCTCCCCAATGCTGATGTATAGACACCGCACCAGTTACTCGTGAAAGGCTGAGTCGACCTAGAGGATGCTTCGTTACTGGTGTTCATAAGTGCGAATCGAACTCGGGTCACCGGGTTTGTAGCGCAGGGCATTAACCACTACGCGATCGCTGCCCAATCACGCACCCACCCACTCGCATGCACACACTAATGTGCTAAGCACTGCACCCCGCACAGACGAAAAGCCACACACATGATTTCCACACGTCGTTTAATTAAATGCGCTGGACCTGGAATGTAAAGTGTGGCTGCGAGCGATGTAGGGAGAGAGAAGAGGGGGGGGGGAGAGCTATGGTCGCATTGTGTATGCCAGGGCACGCACGCACCGCATTACTTAACAGACGTCTCCGCATGAATCACCAATCGCTGTAGCCGGTGCCACACACGGCGCCCTCCGCCTGCGAGGCAAGCGGCGGCTTCCCCCGAGCGCAGAGCCGCGACAGCGCCATGGCCGTCCGCCCCGGTTAATACAGCGGCAGGATTGACCACAGCTGGTTAATACAGCGGCAGGATTGACCACAGCTGGTTAATACAGCGGCAGGATTGATCACAGCTGGTTAATACAGCGGCAGGATTGACCACAGCTGGTTAATACAGCGGCAGGATTGACCACAGCTGGTTAATACAGCGGCAGGATTGATCACAGCTGGTTAATACAGCGGCAGGATTGATCACAGCTGGTTAATACAGCGGGAGGATTGATCACAGCTGGTTAATACAGCGGCAGGATTGACCACAGCTGGTTAATACAGCGGCAGGATTGATCACAGCTGGTTAATACAGCGGGAGGATTGATCACAGCTGGTTAATACAGCGGGAGGATTGATCACAGCTGGTTAATACAGCGGGATGATTGATCACAGCTGGTTAATACAGCGGCATGATTGATCACAGCTGGTTAATACAGCGGCAGGATTGATCACAGCTGGTTAATACAGCGGCAGGATTGATCACAGCTGGTTAATACAGCGGCAGGATTGATCACAGCTGGTTAATACAGCGGCAGGATTGATCACAGCTGGTTAATACAGCGGCAGGATTGATCACAGCTGGTTAATACAGCGGCAGGATTGACCACAGCTGGTTAATACAGCGGCAGGATTGACCACAGCTGGTTAATACAGCGGGAGGATTGATCACAGCTGGTTAATACAGCGGCAGGATTGATCACAGCTGGTTAATACAGCGGGAGGATTGATCACAGCTGGTTAATACAGCGGCAGGATTGATCACAGCTGGTTAATACAGCGGCAGGATTGATCACAGCTGGTTAATGCAGCGGGAGGATTGATCACAGCTGGTTAATACAGCGGCAGGATTGACCACAGCTGGTTAATACAGCGGCAGGATTGACCACAGCTGGTTAATACAGCGGGAGGATTGATCACAGCTGGTTAATACAGCGGGAGGATTGATCACAGCTGGTTAATACAGCGGCATGATTGATCACAGCTGGTTAATACAGCGGCAGGATTGATCACAGCTGGTTAATACAGCGGCAGGATTGATCACAGCTGGTTAATACAGCGGCAGGATTGATCACAGCTGGTTAATACAGCGGCAGGATTGATCACAGCTGGTTAATACAGCGGCAGGATTGACCACAGCTGGTTAATACAGCGGCAGGATTGATCACAGCTGGTTAATACAGCGGCAGGATTGACCACAGCTGGTTAATACAGCGGCAGGATTGACCACAGCTGGTTAATACAGCGGGAGGATTGATCACAGCTGGTTAATACAGCGGCAGGATTGATCACAGCTGGTTAATACAGCGGGAGGATTGATCACAGCTGGTTAATACAGCGGCAGGATTGATCACAGCTGGTTAATACAGCGGCAGGATTGATCACAGCTGGTTAATGCAGCGGGAGGATTGATCACAGCTGGTTAATACAGCGGCAGGATTGACCACAGCTGTTTAATACAGCGGCAGGATTGACCACAGCTGGTTAATACAGCGGGAGAATTGATCACAGCTGGTTAATACAGCGGGAGGATTGATCACAGCTGGTTAATACAGCGGGAGGATTGATCACAGCTGGTTAATACAGTGGCAGGATTGATCACAGCTGGTTAATACAGCGGGAGGATTGATCACAGCTGGTTAATACAGCGGCAGGATTGATCACAGCTGGTTAATACAGCGGGAGGATTGGCCACAGTTGGTTAATACAGCGGCAGGATTGACCACAGCTGGTTAATACAGCGGCAGGATTGACCACAGCTGGTTAATACAGTGGCAGGATTGATCACAGCTGGTTAATACAGCGGCAGGATTGATCACAGCTGGCTAATACAGCGGGAGGATTGATCACAGCTGGTTAATACAGCGGCAGGATTGACCACAGCTGGTTAATACAGCGGCAGGATTGACCACAGCTGGTTAATACAGCGGGAGGATTGATCACAGCTGGTTAATACAGCGGGAGGATTGATCACAGCTGGTTAATACAGCGGCATGATTGATCACAGCTGGTTAATACAGCGGCAGGATTGATCACAGCTGGTTAATACAGCGGCAGGATTGATCACAGCTGGTTAATACAGCGGCAGGATTGATCACAGCTGGTTAATACAGCGGCAGGATTGACCACAGCTGGTTAATACAGCGGCAGGATTGATCACAGCTGGTTAATACAGCGGCAGGATTGACCACAGCTGGTTAATACAGCGGCAGGATTGACCACAGCTGGTTAATACAGCGGGAGGATTGATCACAGCTGGTTAATACAGCGGCAGGATTGATCACAGCTGGTTAATACAGCGGGAGGATTGATCACAGCTGGTTAATACAGCGGCAGGATTGATCACAGCTGGTTAATACAGCGGCAGGATTGATCACAGCTGGTTAATGCAGCGGGAGGATTGATCACAGCTGGTTAATACAGCGGCAGGATTGACCACAGCTGTTTAATACAGCGGGAGGATTGATCACAGCTGGTTAATACAGCGGGAGGATTGATCACAGCTGGTTAATACAGCGGGAGGATTGATCACAGCTGGTTAATACAGCGGCAGGATTGATCACAGCTGGTTAATACAGCGGGAGGATTGATCACAGCTGGTTAATACAGCGGCAGGATTGATCACAGCTGGTTAATACAGCGGCATGATTGATCACAGCTGGTTAATACAGCGGCAGGATTGATCACAGCTGGTTAATACAGCGGCAGGATTGATCACAGCTGGTTAATGCAGCGGGAGGATTGATCACAGCTGGTTAATACAGCGGCAGGATTGACCACAGCTGGTTAATACAGCGGCAGGATTGACCACAGCTGGTTAATACAGCGGGAGGATTGATCACAGCTGGTTAATACAGCGGCAGGATTGACCACAGCTGGTTAATACAGCGGCAGGATTGACCACAGCTGGTTAATACAGCGGCAGGATTGATCACAGCTGGTTAATACAGCGGCAGGATTGATCACAGCTGGTTAATACAGCGGCAGGATTGATCACAGCTGGTTAATACAGCGGCAGGATTGATCACAGCTGGTTAATACAGCGGCAGGATTGACCACAGCTGGTTAATACAGCGGCAGGATTGATCACAGCTGGTTAATACAGCGGCAGGATTGACCACAGCTGGTTAATACAGCGGCAGGATTGACCACAGCTGGTTAATACAGCGGGAGGATTGATCACAGCTGGTTAATACAGCGGCAGGATTGATCACAGCTGGTTAATACAGCGGGAGGATTGATCACAGCTGGTTAATACAGCGGCAGGATTGATCACAGCTGGTTAATACAGCGGCAGGATTGATCACAGCTGGTTAATGCAGCGGGAGGATTGATCACAGCTGGTTAATACAGCGGCAGGATTGACCACAGCTGTTTAATACAGCGGGAGGATTGATCACAGCTGGTTAATACAGCGGGAGGATTGATCACAGCTGGTTAATACAGCGGGAGGATTGATCACAGCTGGTTAATACAGCGGCAGGATTGATCACAGCTGGTTAATACAGCGGGAGGATTGATCACAGCTGGTTAATACAGCGGCAGGATTGATCACAGCTGGTTAATACAGCGGCATGATTGATCACAGCTGGTTAATACAGCGGCAGGATTGATCACAGCTGGTTAATACAGCGGCAGGATTGATCACAGCTGGTTAATGCAGCGGGAGGATTGATCACAGCTGGTTAATACAGCGGCAGGATTGACCACAGCTGGTTAATACAGCGGCAGGATTGACCACAGCTGGTTAATACAGCGGGAGGATTGATCACAGCTGGTTAATACAGCGGCAGGATTGACCACAGCTGGTTAATACAGCGGCAGGATTGACCACAGCTGGTTAATACAGCGGCAGGATTGATCACAGCTGGTTAATACAGCGGCAGGATTGATCACAGCTGGTTAATACAGCGGCAGGATTGATCACAGCTGGTTAATACAGCGGCAGGATTGATCACAGCTGGTTAATACAGCGGCAGGATTGACCACAGCTGGTTAATACAGCGGCAGGATTGATCACAGCTGGTTAATACAGCGGCAGGATTGACCACAGCTGGTTAATACAGCGGCAGGATTGACCACAGCTGGTTAATACAGCGGGAGGATTGATCACAGCTGGTTAATACAGCGGCAGGATTGATCACAGCTGGTTAATACAGCGGGAGGATTGATCACAGCTGGTTAATACAGCGGCAGGATTGATCACAGCTGGTTAATACAGCGGCAGGATTGATCACAGCTGGTTAATGCAGCGGGAGGATTGATCACAGCTGGTTAATACAGCGGCAGGATTGACCACAGCTGTTTAATACAGCGGCAGGATTGACCACAGCTGGTTAATACAGCGGGAGAATTGATCACAGCTGGTTAATACAGCGGGAGGATTGATCACAGCTGGTTAATACAGCGGGAGGATTGATCACAGCTGGTTAATACAGTGGCAGGATTGATCACAGCTGGTTAATACAGCGGGAGGATTGATCACAGCTGGTTAATACAGCGGCAGGATTGATCACAGCTGGTTAATACAGCGGGAGGATTGGCCACAGTTGGTTAATACAGCGGCAGGATTGACCACAGCTGGTTAATACAGCGGCAGGATTGACCACAGCTGGTTAATACAGTGGCAGGATTGATCACAGCTGGTTAATACAGCGGCAGGATTGATCACAGCTGGCTAATACAGCGGGAGGATTGATCACAGCTGGTTAATACAGCGGCAGGATTGACCACAGCTGGTTAATACAGCGGCAGGATTGACCACAGCTGGTTAATACAGCGGGAGGATTGATCACAGCTGGTTAATACAGCGGGAGGATTGATCACAGCTGGTTAATACAGCGGCATGATTGATCACAGCTGGTTAATACAGCGGCAGGATTGATCACAGCTGGTTAATACAGCGGCAGGATTGATCACAGCTGGTTAATACAGCGGCAGGATTGATCACAGCTGGTTAATACAGCGGCAGGATTGATCACAGCTGGTTAATACAGCGGCAGGATGACCACAGCTGGTTAATACAGCGGCAGGATTGATCACAGCTGGTTAATACAGCGGCAGGATTGACCACAGCTGGTTAATACAGCGGCAGGATTGACCACAGCTGGTTAATACAGCGGGAGGATTGATCACAGCTGGTTAATACAGCGGCAGGATTGATCACAGCTGGTTAATACAGCGGGAGGATTGATCACAGCTGGTTAATACAGCGGCAGGATTGATCACAGCTGGTTAATACAGCGGCAGGATTGATCACAGCTGGTTAATGCAGCGGGAGGATTGATCACAGCTGGTTAATACAGCGGCAGGATTGACCACAGCTGTTTAATACAGCGGGAGGATTGATCACAGCTGGTTAATACAGCGGGAGGATTGATCACAGCTGGTTAATACAGCGGGAGGATTGATCACAGCTGGTTAATACAGCGGCAGGATTGATCACAGCTGGTTAATACAGCGGGAGGATTGATCACAGCTGGTTAATACAGCGGCAGGATTGATCACAGCTGGTTAATACAGCGGCATGATTGATCACAGCTGGTTAATACAGCGGCAGGATTGATCACAGCTGGTTAATACAGCGGCAGGATTGATCACAGCTGGTTAATACAGCGGCAGGATTGATCACAGCTGGTTAATACAGCGGGAGGATTGATCACAGCTGGTTAATACAGCGGGAGGATGAACCACTCCGGGTTAATAGCGGTGGCCAACTCGAGTTCGGGTTTTCGGAGTTACCAAGGTTCGGAAAATATTCGTTTATAATCCGCGTGCTGGACCCCCACGAGGGGCCTGTCCCCCCTCTCGCAGAAATTCGACGAATTATCCTGCCAAGGGATAATATCTATTAAACAAGAAAAGTCAAACAGCAATCATGGGCCGAGCATCTCATTGCAGGCCTCTTCCAAGGAAGGGTTTTGAGACGCGGCGAGGATTCTCTGGGTAAATGAAGGCCGAAACCGGGTTCATAAATAATCTAAGTAGGACTGCATCCAAACGCACTGTATACATAATGAGGGTCGCGTCCAACTGTGGGAGCCAGGGGGGAGGGGGGCTGGAGAGGCAGCCGAAGGCGATTCATTAGGAGCGCAGAGATTTGTGTTTATATTTTACGTCCGTCAGTCTATGTGTCCGTCTGTCTATATGTCTGTCTGTCTATATGTGTGTCTGTCTATAGACTCCCAAGACCTCCTTAGCCAATCGCTCTGAGAGTTATCACACAAGCTGATCAATACCAATGCCCGCAACGCGAAATTCGAGGACGAGATTGGCCATCGAGAATCCATAACTCGAAAAAGTTGCCTTTATTTTCACAACCAAAGTGGTAAATGACCTGTGCGCTGCTCTCCCCCCCCCACCCCACTGCGGGGAGGGTGCGGTGGAGGAGGATGCCCGCGGGCTGCAGAGTCGCCGGGCTGGCCGCGTGGAGGCTGCGGGCCAGCGAATCAACCCCCACCCAACACATCTCTGCACATGATGAGACACACATCATTAGAGGCGTGCGAGCAACCTAGAAGCAAATTACGAGTCGCGTCCCTGCACTGCTGTGTGGTGCTGTTTGTCACTGGCCCCTCGAGATGTTGGGCCCATCAACCGTGATTAGGGGATAACACACGCAAAGCCTCACTATTCAAATTCGAAACTCTCACATGCAATAGTACTCCACTGGGATGACTGTAACACACAAACACAGCAGCAGCAGCAATAGTCGCCGCCTACTGGCAGCAGACGAATGCCCCAAGCTCACGCTGGCAAACGAGACTCCCATCCTCGCCTCTTGAGTTCTCAGCCCGGTTACCCTCCACGAACTCTGAGGCAGCACGACGCGCGATTGTGTTCGTAAACTCCGCCCTCCCGTGATGCACCGCGCGTCACGTCACGTGCCGCACGTGCAAGGCACAAGGCCTTTGTTCGGATCAACGAGAGATGTGAAACTGCGTTGCCCATGTGATTGTAGGCAGGAGTAGGACAATAAGATACACGCTGTTACCGGTGTCATCCTTGTTAGGAAATATCAGTACAACAAAGCCATCACTGCGTGCTGGGAGGACCGAGATAATATGGTAATACTATCTCCAGGAGTGGCAGCCAAGGAATGTAACGCATCCGAGAGGACGTCCATCCTGGAGATTGAGCAATTAACTCAGTCCGTGTGCGGGAGGCGCTGGGTGGGTTATTGATCACAGAATCCTGAGAGGTGGTGGCAGTGGATTTGGGGAGAATTCCAGCGGGGCATTGATCATGGCTCATGATATTATAATCACAGAGCAGTCTAGAGAGCGCCATCGCACTCCCATCACACCCACTCGCCTCTCATCCGTCTCACGTCGCCACCAGACATATATTTGAAGCAAAAGGTAAAACACCGTTTTGTTTGAATGAGCTGATGCTTGAATGATTGGCCGACGGCTTCATTGTTGTCAGAGTTTCCAATGTAGAGCGCCTGCTGTGCTCTGCGTCAGGAGCCAGAAGAGTTGCATTGGCCGAGTCGCTGGCGCGGTGTCACGGTTCGCACAGCGGACTCGCAACGCAGAGGGTCGTCGGTTCGATTCCCTCTCCCCCCAGGGCAGCTGTACCTGTGGTGAAAGTTTATTTTCACCGCTCCCTTCCCCCAAAGTCTATCGGTAGGTTGCGTGTGGCGATGGGGTAAGTTGTGGGTACGCCCACCTCTTCCAAGACGTCTTGTCAATGTAGGAAGAGTAGGCCAAATACCTTCTCGGGCTCCCTCTAGTGGAGGCCGTTCCGCTGGCAGAGCTTCGCATTTTGATTACAAAGTTATTTACCCCCCCCCCACCACTTTCCATCCCCCACCCTGACCCCTCCCCCTTGCCCCCCCCCCCGCCCGCAGTGACGAGCATGACGCTGTGGGAACGAGGCTCGTGCCCGGCGAGTGCGCTCCTCTGCTCGGCGCTGCGGGGAGCATTCCTCCTCGTCTCCCTGGTGTACTACTTCAAGATCGGGCGGAGGTGGCGGAAGTAGTCGGAGGGAGGCAAAGCTACCACCCCCTCCACGAAGCCCCCCACCCTCTCCAAAGCCCCCTACCCTCTGGCCCCCCACACTTCCAGTTCACTTGGTCTTGCCTTCTGTGGAGAGCAGTGTGCGCGTGCGGTCGTCTGTGTACGAATTCCCTGAGCTACTCGAGCGATGGGTGGCATGGGAAGTGTGTGATGCGTGTGGGTGTGATGTCTGAACGAGGGATGGAAACATACACATGCAGAGACGCATGCACGTTTACACACGCTCACGCTCACACGCAACGCACATACGGTACACTCACAAACATACGTACATTCAGAAACACATATCCACACCTCCACTCAAATATAAGACAAAGGCTTGACTAAGCTGTTGGGGTGTGCGTGGGCAGGTGTGCGTGGGGTGCGTAATCAGGTATGTATGGCAAGTGTTTGTGGGTAGATGTTTGTGGGTAGGTGTGCGTGGACAGGTGTGCGTGGGGTCCGTGTGCGTGGACAGGTGTGCATGGCAAGTGTTTGTGGGTAGGTGTTTGTGGGTAGATGTTTGTGGGTAGGTGTGCGTGGGCAGGTGTGCATGGCAAGTGTTTGTGGGTAGGTGTTTGTGGGCAGGTGTTTGTGGGTAGGTGTTTGTGGGTAGGTGTGCATGGGTAGGTGTGCATGGCAAGTGTTTGTGGGTAGGTGTTTGTGGGCAGGTGTTTGTGGGCAGGTGTGCGTGGGTAGGTGTGTGTGGGTAGGTGTGCATGGCAAGTGTTTGTGGGTAGGTGTTTGTGGGCAGGTGTTTGTGGGTAGGTGTTTGTGGGTAGGTGTGCGTGGGCAGGTGTGCGTGACAGGTGTGCGTGGGTAGGTGTGCGTGGGTAGGTGTGCGTGGGCAGGTGTGCGGCTCTGCATGCGGACCGTGAGTCGCTGGTTTCCTCGTGCTCATTTTTAAACTCCTAGGTGTTCCGTTTTTCTCGTCTCGTGTTATTATATTGTTCATGATGATTGTTATTATTGTTACTATACTGTTATTACTGGATCGACGATTAAACAAAGGAAACGATTCGTGTGTGACGCGGACACGGCGAGGGGTTTACCTGTTGAGTAATCCCGTGAGCTGCGAGCTCATGGAGGCTTTCTCCGGGGTTTCGTTAATTAAATAAAATCCTCGCTCAGTTTTGCTTTGTGGGGGGGGGGGGGGGGGGGCACTGCTTTTGGCTCCGCGTTGTGAGTGATTGTGCTGTGAGAGCGGAGTGTTTGTGTCTCGCAAATGTCACGGTAGTCACTCCGTGAGACATTCCGTGACAGCGGAGTGTCTCAGCTCGTCTCATTTGGAAGGCATGTGCGAGTTGTGGCATTTCCACGTTCCCATGATGTCGACAAGCTGTACATTTGAGTGCAAGAGCGCTCCTTTACGGTAGACTCGGTTCATCCCCCACAAAAAACGCGATTTTTTCTAATTCGCTTTTATTCTATAACCCCCCCCCCCCCAACAGCATCAGAAAAAAACGAATTCATAATCAACTCCGCGAACAATTTATTACCGATCTCCCGAGCTCCCTTACCGCAGGGGATTGAGCGAGACGGAACAAGAGAGATGAGGGAGGGCAGGCAGCGAGAAGATGCAAATTAGCTTCGTGGAGCAATTAAAGAGAGAGGCGGCGTCTCGAGTCGGGAGTGCTGCTGGCTCAGCACGATCCGAGGTTCCAATAACACCAGGAGCTCGGGACTCCGCCACGAGTGTCGCCTCGCGCCACGGGACGGAGGAACGGCTCGAGCCCCCCGCTCCTGGGGAGGGCAGCGACGAGTCGATTGGCCTGGTGGTGGTGGTGGTCGTGGCATGATATGCTGCGAGAGTCTGGAAGGTCCTTCCTAGCGGGGCGGCTCCGACAGAGCGAGATGTGGCGCTCCACAGTTTGCGAGGCACGGCCACTGCGGGTATCGTGGCTGTGCCGATATCCCCATCACTTGAAAGCATCGATATAGGAGGTGCATGGCGACATTTTTAGAGACACCCACATGTTACATAAAAATAAAACCATGGAGGTATCAAGTCGACGTTGTCTCTTTTTAACTAAGTGACATCCATGCTGAATATGCCGAGTCTAATCGTGTGGTTGGTAATGTGCTCAGGACCTAGATGCCACTGTCGCGGTCTGCTGCGAGCCAGGCGACAGAATTAGTCTAGTTTAAACGAACACGTTTCATGTTGCTCTTCCTCCGGCTCATTATCCGGTCCAGAGATTGGCCTGCATGGCCACAATCGCACTACTGCGACCTGTTTCTTTAATTTTCCATTCGTAAAGGAGAATATAATCGTCAGTGCAGTAGAACCACGCTGTGAGGAGCGAACAGACGGATCCGATCTGTAACCTGGCCAATAACCATCGAGGACCATCCACGAGTTTGACTCCAATCAACTTCCACGGTGCGTCTGCGGCCCTGGCAGAGACACGGGAGTGAAATGGTGACGAGTCCCTCCGGAGGCACGGGGTGCCCACGCCCCAGGCCCCGGCTCCCTCCCCAGGGACCCCCAAAAGGTTTTTGGAGGCGCGGAGCAAAACTCCAAATGAGCCTCTCTCCTCAGCTGTTTCTGAGCCACCCCCTACGATCTGAGACCCGGGACAAACGGCGCCGCTCATCCCTCCTCCCCCCCACGTCTGTGCGTGGTTCAACTGCTTTTTGTGTTCAGCTTGTTGTCCTTCCCCGCACCTCCGATTAGCGTGGTTGACTACGTACGGTGCGAAAGAAGTTCAACATGTATAACTCGCGCTTGCCCCAAATGCATGCAGCGAGGTCGGTACGCCCAGCATGTTTAATTAAAGTCTCCGGCGAGGCGCCGCCCATTAATATTTAAGCATTCGCGGGATTTACACGGGGACATTAATTATTTAATAGTCACAACTCACAGCGCAGAGCAATCACACGTTGTACCGTACTTCCGTGCTCCTTAGACCTTCAGCGCCAACCGACCCGATGCCAGTTGTGGCGATGACGTGTGGCCAACGAAACCCCCACCACCCGCACGGCGTGGACATTGCCCTCGTCCGGCAGAGGAGTCACCAAAGGTCACCAAAGGTCGCCCGCGTGCGTCACGCGCCGTGGACGTCGGCACAACGCGACTCCGGTGCCCTCTGGCGGAGGCGAAGAGAAGATTCAGCCGAGGGTGAGAGCCGCTGCAGAGATTCGGGTTGAACGAGAGCCGGAGATGAAATGCGTTGGGTCAGGCGATGATTCTAAGAAATGAGATTGTAAGGCGGGGTAATTACAGACGCGTGTCTGGAGAAAGTCTCGGCCGTGAAGATGTGAGACCGTGCATTTTCTTAAAGAGGTTGTGGAGATTTGAAATGCGATGGGAGGTAGAGCTGAGACGATATGCGTACGGGAAGATGATGGCAATGAGGGGGGTTGAGTTTTCTGGGGAATGAGAAATGATGTTGTGAATGACAGACGCATGCACATGGGTAGGGACATCTTTCCATGCGTGAAGAAGAGCGTTCACGCGTCTTATAAATGCGGCTGTGGAGATAATGGATGAGCCCGTACTGCTGAGAGATGAGGACATTGGCCGGCTGGGTGTCGCAGTGGTAAAGCTCCTGCCTCAGAAGTGCCAGTGTTCGATTCCCGAGTCGGGCTACATTCTGTCTGGAGTGTGTATGTTCTCTTCCTATTCTGCATGAGTTTCCTCTGGTTTCTTCGGTTTCCTACCACAGTTATAAAACATACTATGCAATGTAACTGGTCAAACATCCCAACGATGAAATATTTCCGACAATCTACTCAATTGGGATCACGCAGAGCAGCAGAAACGTCGACCCCTCCTGCGGAAACGTGGCAGGACCCTCCTGTAAAACAAGTCTTGAGACTCGGAGTGGCTTTCCTGGAAAAACATGCGTAAATTAAACATGCCGTCAAAGCTTAGCTAAATGTGAAGATGAGAAATGGTGACCTCCGGCCCCTGTGACCCGTGACCTGCGTGCGTGCGTGGCCCGCACGCAAGCCGTGAACACGACCTCGACAGGGGCCCAATCGAGGTCGTGTTCACGACGTGCGGGTCGGGAAGACGCGGGGGGGATCAGTCTTCTGTTGCGGAGCAGCGACGACAATTTCACTTTAGGTGGTCAAGCCCCCGGATAACCACGTCGGGAGCATCACCACCAACATCACCACCAACATTACTCAACATGACCACCAACATCGTCAACATCACCACCAACATTACTCAACATGACCACCAACATGACCACCAACATCGTCCACATCACCACCAACATCACCACCAACATCACTCAACATCACTCAACATCACCACCAACATCGTCCACATCACCACCAACATCACCACCAACATCGTCAACATCACCACCAACATCATCACCAACATCGTCAACATCACCACCAACATTACTCAACATGACCACCAACATCGTCAACATCACCACCAACATTACTCAACATGACCACCAACATCACCACCAACATCACTCAACATCACCACCAACATCACCACCAACATTACTCAACATGACCACCAACATCACCACCAACATTACTCAACATAACCACCAACATCACCACTAACATCACCACCAACATCACTCAACATCACCACCAACATCACCACCAACATCGTCAACATCACCACCAACATCACTCAACATCACCACCAACATCACTCAACATCACCGACATCACCACCAACAAAGTGCCATGTCGTCGTGTATGATCATGGCTCCTGATGTCTCCATCGTCTTTGTGGATCGGACATTTCGCCGTTACATGTTGAACGGCCTCTTCTGGATGGCCGCAGTCGCACACGGGAGAGTGTTCAGGGTATCCGCGTCTGCCACGGCCTGTGCAGTGGATGTGATCTGGGTTGGACCATGAGCAGCTTCGTGGAAGATGAAACCACAGGGATCTCCTGCGTTGCCTCTTTCGCAAGGGTGGTCAGTGACCCCTGCTGTACACGCACGGGAATGCTGCCAAACCCATCGGCCCATTCCCGGACACGACGCCACCCTGCTGTGTGGTTGCAGCCCTCTGCCAAATCCACTGCTGGATGAGGGCCTCCCCACCACGCCCCATCGGTCGTAGAGGTCCAGTGACCATACTTCACCTCGCGCGGTCTGGCGAAGGCGGGGGGAATGGACGTGGGAGCAGAGAAGTGCAGTACAACACAACACGTGTTTTAGATGTCTCGGCACTTGCCCTCTGCTGATCACCACGTCGCGCTGTGCTCACCGACACAAACACGAACCAGGCTCCAGGCTGCTTGGCTTACCAAATCGGGTGCATTTTGTGTGAATTATTCATAAATCACTCTACTTCTTTATTGGCACAATACGGCCACCTACACGATGTTTATTAGATGCCCGTGGCACTAAGCCACATATAAATGTGGCTTATGAAGGCGTCTGGGTGTCCCTGACGTTTATACACAGCGCACCCGGTTACTCATTTAAGGCTGAGTCAACCTAGTGGAGGGCTAAGGGCCCGGCTCAAACATTCGCCACCGTTTTATTGGTCGCGAGTGGGACTGACCAGTGCGCCACCGCTCCCCGCTGCGCGCACGCGAAGACCCGGAACTGATTTTTAGTTCCGGATGCTGCGTTCGTTTTTCCCGAGTCCGGGTCCGCGTCGCCGCTCGCCGTCCCTCGTCTCGTCTTCAGGATGTCTGAGCGCAAAGTTCTAAACGTAAGAACATCACCACCAACATCGTCAACATCATCACCAACATCGTCAACATCATCGTCAACATCACGCTACATCACCACCAACATCACCACCAACATCACCACCAACATCGTCAACATCGTCAACATCACGCTACATCACCACCAACATCACCAACATCACCACCAACATCACTCAACATCACCACCAACATCACCAACATCACCACCAACATCACCACCAACAACACCAACAACATCACTCAAATCACCACCAACATCACTCAAATCACCACCAACATCACTCAAATCACCACCAACATCACTCAACAACATCACCAACAACACCAACAACATCACCAACATCACCACCAACATCACCACCAACAAC